TGCGAGATCTCGCAAAAGTTTTGCGAGATCCCGAGTTTGTTTTGCGAGATCCCGAGTTTGTTTTGCGAGCTCTCGCAAAGGTTTTGCGAGATCCCGAGTTTGTTTTGCGAGCTCTCGCAAAGGTTTTGCGAGATCCCGAGTTAGATTTGCGAGATCTCGCAAAAGTCCGTCTTAATTTTTTTTTCTCCCATGTCCCCTGCGGGGCTCCGTAATTTTTGTTGTTCTTTATAAAAACAAAAAATGTAATAGCCTATATTCACTGTTCCTTTAAATGAACAAGAGACACCTTGAGAAAAGGGTTTGTTTTACGTTAAACTTCATGCATTTTTTAGTATGTTTTCCATTTGGGCATAAAATCCACAGCTATTTCTTTTCAGTAATGCAAAAATCACTTTGTCAGTAGTCTAAAAATACATTACAGTGGTACTAGCATAAAAATACAAATGTTAATACTATTATTTTAATGCTATATTAATATACTAAACTAACTAAACTAATTTGAAATGTGCGCTTTAGGTCTATGATTAGCTTCACAGAATCTTTTATTCTGAAACAAGGAGCCGGAAATGCACTAATACACACCAGCGAAGAAGAGCACGAAGCTAGCTTGCCAAGCTAACCGGTTGTAGACGTCTGATTGAAGATGTAAACTTGTATAAACCTTTCGATTGAATGGTAAAAATAATTAACCGTGTCGTTAACAGGCGTTGTAGCTGCTGTCGGTTTGTGATTTGACACGGTGTCAAATGTGAAGAGGTAAGGTCACTGTAAAATTCAATTCAATCATGCATGAATCATTAAAAGCCGTCCATTGAATGAAGTTAAAGTGCTCTGTGAGGTGAATAGCAGGCTATACTGCCTCAGACACTAGTTTGATACCAGTGCACTGTCTGATAATAAAGCTGGAACTTTGTTCAAACTTTCCGCATGAAAATTACTTAATTAAGCCTCTGAGAACTGAATTTTTTGAAAGTTATACAATCACTTGTTTCAGCGTCCAGATGTTAATGTTTTTTCTAGTTTTCTTGTGTAACTATAGGTATTTCTATAGGTTTTTTGATGGCATTGCCGGTGAAACAAACGTTATTTGCCAAGTTATTGATATGACGTAAACTAAACATGTATACACGTGTCTGCCCGACCTAAATGACCGACCTGAGTGACTCTGTTATCAAATGTAATTCCTCTTGTTTCACTCATCAACAGATTCCAACATGTCCATCCAGTTTGTGTATAGCCATCAGCACTTCGTCACTGATGTGTATCGGATCAGTGGAAACAATTCCGCTAAAAACTCTGCATCAACAAAGTTTGACACCGCCATCCAAGGCGGCTGGGCAGACAGGATGGCACGGGGCATATTTCGCTACCATCTGGGGAATTTAAAAACACGGGTCCTGCTGGGTTCCCATGGCTATGTGGCTCAGCTGAATATCCAACGAGGAATAGAGAGAAGAAAGCCACAGGAGATCATGAGCATTAAGCAGGAGTTCAATGCCAAGCAGTTTAACTTTAACAAAATTAAACACGATGAAATCATATTTGAGATGATAAAGGACAAAAAAGGAGGTTCACCTTTGACTAACAATGCAGAGTGTCCTCAACCCCAGAAGATGGTTGTGTTGGTCAATGTTAGCCCTCTAGAGTTTGGACATTGTCTCTTTGTCCCAGATCCTGCTCACTGTCTCCCACAGATCCTGACAAAGTTTGCAATCCATGTCGGCATTGAAGCTGTGCTTCTGAGCTCTGATCCCGGTTTCCGTGTGGGGTTCAACAGT